TAGTGTATCCGCTGGCACAGGTCTCAATCAAAGTAGAGGCAAAAACGCAGGTATGCTGACCTCATTGATGAGTACGTCCTTTTAGTTGAATCCGCATAACAATGACTTTTTAGCTGCAACAATTCAGATCTAAGCAGTGTCCATTGTTCTCCCACTGGGCCTGCAAAAAAGTAAATGCCCTGTCAGTCATATGTTGGTCCCAGATCATCAGCATGGTCAAGGAATTACATGAACCACAGTCATGAGGTAATGCCTGAAGGTAAGGCAGTGCTTTGCTTAGATGACTAGGATCATGTAGTCGGCTCAACGAAATTAGAGCTCTTGGTTAAGGACACCAGGGATATGTCTAGCTGACAGACGGAAATTATGCACCGCCAACAGCCAAAACAAGTCACGAAGCCACGACATTGCAAGAGGATTACTGCAAGTTCCCTTATTGATGCTTTTGCAGTGACATTGTCAGTGTAAACAACAATACGTTTTTTTCGCCATCTCTTGCACCAGCTTTTAGCTGAAAGATATACAACAAATAGTTCTTTCAAGTTGATGTGTTCATTCGACATATTGGGAAAATCAGATTCCCAGCTGCAGTAGAACCAGTCATTCTTGTAATATGCTGCTTCACCATTAGAACAAGCATCAGTGGAGAAATCATGCACGGCGGGCACGAATAGCATCTGGGAAGCTGCAGGTACCATTATAGGTTTGGCAAAAGGTTATCCACCACTGAATATCTTTTCTAGCGGACTGTGACAGTCGCACATGATGTGAGCTAAGCCTTAAAAGAGTTCATGATATCGATTAGGCGAAAGAAAAGTAAGTCCACCATACACAACACGAGATGCCCAGTTAAGTTTTCCCACAAGCACTTGAAGTTCACGTTTTGTTGCTTTCTTCTTACTGGACCAGGACCTCAGAAGAACTTTCAACAAATCTAGTTTATCATGAGGTAATGAGAATGTTTTTGCCACACTGTCTATTTCAATTCCCAGAAATACCAGCTTCTGACACGGTGCTTCCACTTTTTCATAGTTAATTGTAAATCCAAGATTAACTAGCAGGTTAAGTAGGGTATCATAACCGTTTTGACACTCTGCTTCTGATTTACCAATGATCAAAAAATCATCCATGTAGGCAACTATCACAAACCCTCTACGTTTCATCATCTTCGATATAGCTGTGGAAAGACGATTGAAAACCTGTGGGCTCATCGAGGGCACGAAGGAAAGTTTTGTGTCCACAAAATAGTTAGGTATTATTCCACCTGAAAATGTCCATGATAACCCAGTAGCTGCATAGCAATCTGGATGTATGGGTACACTGCGGTAGGCATGTTTTAAGTCAATTTTGGCCATATATCCTCCGGGGGGTAGCAGTTTCAAGGCATTATCTATAGTCTCATATGTAAAGCTGGTAGTAGTAGCATGTGAGTTAAGGCTGTAACCAACTGGTCTGCTACAGTCATGGATCAGTCTTACCTTGCCATCACTTTTGGGAATGGCTCCTAAACTACTGATAATAGTCACAGGTTTTACATGGAAGATAGTTTCCACATTCAATTTCCTGAATAATCTGTTTCTCAACTAATGCTTTTGAATGTTCATCTGTAGCTGATTTATAGTTTTTACACCTAACAGGCTTAAGTTCTGCATCCTGAGAAATAATCTGAAAACCATTAACAACACCATCAAGGATGAATTCTGAGTCTTTGTCATTCTTCAGTTCAGCTTGCCAAGTTGGCAAGCATTTACCCAGGGGGCTATCAATACATGGAGGGACGAAAACGAGGAGGCACCTCCTTGTCCTTGTGATGTTCGAACTGTAGGTGTTTCTCATTGCATCCTGGTACAATGCATGTGTGACTGTATTTACAGTTTGGAAACTTACAACCAGAAGGGTGTTGGAAGTAAATGCATATCAGTTTCCCAAACTGATCTACTTGTCTGTTCCTATGATGAGGAGCTGAACTTGTGGGAGGCTTTCTTGTGCTTGGTGCAGTAGATTTCTTTTCTAGGTAGTAGAACATGTCATTGAAATTTACACAATTCCAACTTGTGCTACCTTCATCTGATAGGCGCCTTCTATGTTTGTCATCAAGTAACATTATTGACTGTGTGGTGTAGGTCTGCGCAAAGTCGCCAATCTGAGCAGTGTAATCCAGGTAAGATTTTACTCCAATCATGTCAGTTTTACCCTCATCGATCAGCTTGCGTAATATCCTAGCATTAGCAGAAATCCACTGAGATAAGGAGACTTGTTCTGGCGTTGGCTTAGAGTTACTTCTCATGAACAGCTTATTGTCACCCTCACTAAAAATGGGAGTTTCATCACTGGATACAGATGATTTTGGTTTAGTGATAAAGTCTGGTATCAAATGGGGTTTCTCACCTTTCCGTGATTTGTCCTTGGCACAGATCTCTTCTTCACATTTATTGAAGTTCAGATAGTCTTTTAAATGGAGATCAGACATTCCCTTTAGTAAGTCATTGAGTTCAACCATCTTAGACAAATCCCTAGTTGTTACTCCAGCACTGCTGTCAATATTAGTTCCACATTCTTGCTGAAATGTAGTGGTTGAAGGTTGCCGCAGCAATTTCACGGCTTCCAAAAGAGCATTACGTTGCCCAAGAGGCAGTTTCAGTTCAAGCACATCATCTGTTGATAATCTCAGTAAACACTGCTTTGACACAATTTCTTCCTTGGAAAGAATGTCCAGAGTAATGCTACTCAGTCCTGATAAAGAACCCCACTAACTGATACAGAAGGAATCTTTGTCTTCCATTTCTTTTTACTGCAAATTCTCACTGCATATTTTCGTCTGCTATGGTTCAAAGGTGACCTTGAAACTGTCATGCCCCTTAGCTCATTAACAAAATATAAACAAGGCCCTTAGCACCTTAATAAAAAGGGTTATCTCCCTTGGACCAGAGGTGAAGGCTGGGGAAATTAAGTTCCCAAGAGTTATGTCCCTTTACCTGCAAATCAAGCCTAAGTAGGTTAAGCTGTCAGTTTTAATATCAAATAAAATAGTTTTATTTTCAACATATATATGGTTCATTTTGCACATACAATACAGGTTGTAGGCATATGTCCATATTTACCATCCGTGCCGAAAATCCACATTAGCCAATAGATGTGGCCTAGTTTATTTCAGAGTTACATCCCTTGATGTGGTATATGATAAAATGGTTATGATAATACAGTTTTCCTTTCACCAGAAATATCTAGGGTTGGGTATCGCCAAAATTTTCGTATTGCGATATATTTTGATATGTTGGCGTATTGCAATATATTGTGAAAGTGTGACACATGGTTTAGCTCTTTCAACACCAGTCAACCAGAGGCTTTTACTGCCATGACACCGAGTTCCCAGAGACCCTGAGGTCATAGATGAGGCCTATGTTTATCAAGGAAAATATCAGCTTGTAAAACACTATTACTGCTACATGTCATGCACCATTTGAAAGGTATAATCCTAACATATTTATAAATATGAAAGTTATTTTTAATCATAGTATTCAAATAATACAACAGCAATTTAAATAAGTTAAGTTTTAATGAAAATGTAACTTAACACGTTATAATGTCCAGATAAACCATGAAGGAAGCAAAAAATGCAGCAATTTTTTTCCATTTGTAACATGTCATAATATCCCCTTATCTTTTTCTTTTATATTTTCATTTTTATGTAATCTGAAAATTATCATAAAAAGATGTCTTAAATAATATGTATGGTCGGCTATTTCCACTCGGTAACATGACACAACAGCGGGGAAATGTAGGCGGACTGCATGCTTGATGATGGGCCATTATCATGCCCGTTGTTAGGTGACGTCATAAGGAGTTCAGCTCTTGATGTTCAATCACCTACGGCTCGTTTTGACTTTGGTTCAATATTGATGATATTTCTGACTCACATTCGTCACATGTACCTGTGCCATTATGCACTTTCTTGCCGGTGCCAACCTTAATAATTGTACCATAAATTACAACATGCAGCAATGAAAACATCGACTGGATTTCTAATGTTGTTTAGCATTGAAAAAACCCTGTAGTGACGTCATATATTTTGTTCTATGACGTTTCTATATTTGTAAAAAGTGTGTCAGTGACCTCTGTCGTTTGTTGTAAGCAGTAAATGCTTCAAAACCGATACCGTTGTTTGTTTTTATTTCATTAAAAATTCTATCCATTTTTGCTATAATAACGGTAACACTATTTTTCAGGGCATTATCATTTGCAGAAGCCCTCAGTCTTTTCAGTTATTGAAATACCTCGGGCTTCTGCAAATGATAATGCCTAGAAAAATAGCGCTACCTTTAACATAGCTCTTTACATTGCATGGAATATGGTGTGCATGTCTGTATTTCTGATATATAAATCTGAAATGTATGTTAGTTTCAGAATAATTTGTATGTCATTTTACAAAGGAACAAAGTATTTCATTTGTTTCAGTTGTGTGACCCATGGCTTAATTTGTAACTGTTCAATAAGGAAAACAAATTGATTCAAATGTTGGGTACTCAGGTCCAAGTTGAGTCTGACCCTTCAGGCCATCGAGTCCAAGATTTTGGACCTGTGTGAGCCCTACATGGCAGATGTAGGCGAACTGCATGCTTGTGAATTTTACCTGGCACAAATTAAGTGATTATGGGAATAAAGAAGAAATTTGAATAAAGTGAATTAAACATTTGATATCTGAAATTGACTATGGCCTTCGCCCAATCAGAACATCATCCCAAAATGACACTAAGTTATGATTTGTTCAAAGATAGACGATTATTTCAGAAGTCGTTCTTAATATCATATGTTTAGCCTTGTTGTTTACGTTGATGTCCTGGCAACGCGTCCATGGTCACGGCCGAAACATTTTACATTTTCCATATGACTGCAAAAGAGCCCTGTATCTAATTTACATATACTGGAGCTCCATTTGTAAATATGTGCAGTGGTGTCAAACGACATCGTGAACTAGGCTTGGTTGATAATGTTAGGTTTACCTTGGTATTGAGACGCCATGTTGAACAAGTTTTCAGCGTGAGGATTCCAGACAGCACATCAATAAAACTGCAGCAAGCGAAAACCGAACTTGAAAACCTTGCTTGGAAAAACAGGGACACCAGCCAAAATGGAAAATACAATGTTTTCAAAACGCCCGTTCAGTACTTCTTTTGCAGATGAAAGCGGTCATATTTAACAGGAAATTAAACAGCGTCATCACTATCCTTTGCCATGGAGCACATTATGTTTGTTCATCTAGATCTATTAATGAATATTCTAAGATGCTTCGGTGAAAGATCAAAGGTGCCGACAGTGCAATACAGTATGCTTTACCACCATGTATAGATCTAGTGTAATAAAGCACACTTTCACCCTGAACTATCATAGTTACGGTAAAGTAACGACGCTTGCGTCCGAGTGCTTTACGTTATAATAGTTTAGGGCGAAAGTGTGCTCTATTACACTATACGTGGTGGTAGAGCGAACTGTATTTCTTTTCTAAGATGCCTAATTTAATACTTTCTAAGGATAATTAGGATTAATATAAGGCAGAAAACAAACGATGGTGCCAGTGACCTAAATTAAGAATCCTCGCACGGGGCTAACTAGCGCGCTATTGATGTGTCTGTCCCCCTACGTTAAGACGAACGTTACCAGAAAAAACAAATGATAACAGTTTGATGACGGTTTGCGTTCGGATTAAATACCTTCTCTAAATTATTTTAATTACATCTATGATTAACGTAAACCATATCGGGCAATATGAACGTCGCATTTTTACTACCAACGTAAGTTTAGATCAGTACATCCAGATGAAGCTGAGTTTATGGAAGCCACATTCCACGATTATATTGTGGGAATGTAAACAGGGGGAAATCCATAGTAATTCCTGTTTTTATGAAATACTTCACGAGTAATATCATGAGTTCTTTTCAATTTGCCCATACTAGCCAAACTTACAAAATACACGAAATTTGTTACCCCGAAACCGGGACACAAACGTAAAGATTTTCCCAGCCATATGGTTCTAGCGCTGCGCTCGGGGCAACACACCACTCGTCCGTGGCGGGTGACGTCACGCTCCAGATGACGTCACGATCTCTATAAATACGAGCGCTAAACATGCAACTTCCTCAATGTCTAGACAATAACCTGTAATCCTACCACTCCTAGAGGCCCGTCCTTGTTAGAACGTTGCTCAACACTCGGAAAATAAGTTTCCCAATGTGGGGAAGGAGGGTGGGAATTATGATATTACTCGTAAGTATTTCATAAAAACAGGAATTACTATGGAATTCCCCCTTTTTATTACAATACTTACTCCTAATATCATGAGACTTTGTCATAGCGGACAGCGGGAACCGAGCCTCGTCCTGACAAGTCGCAGACATAAGGAGAGGTATTGTAAAGCGAAGGAAAATCCCTGCGGTCATGCCGACCTAGTCAGAGCGATAGATTCTGTGCTACTGCGAGGGGAACACGTTTACACCCGTTTCGCTGTGTAGCAACGTTTCTGATATAAAATCTCGCAAAAGTGGAAGGTTGTCTCCAGTAAGCCGCCCTCATAATAGCATCTAAAGAGACTGAGGAGGCGAATGCTAGTGAGGCCGAGATAGCCCTTAATTCGTGTGATTTCACACTACTAGAGGTCAGCAGGTCGGATTTACCTGCCTGATCATAGGCTACCCTGACAGTGCCCGTAATCCACTTAGAGATTTCTCTACCTTCCGTTGTGTAGGAAATAAACAACCTTCTCTGTGTAGTCCAAAGGGGTTTAACCCTGTGGATATACCACTTAAGGGTGCGTACAGGACAAAGTAAGCGATTCGAATCCTCTTTCTGCAAGGTATTGGAGAGAGAAGGGATTGTAATCGGAGCTAAAACACTCATGTGGTTTCTGAGTCTTAGCCCTGAACTCTGGAAGAGTTTGTAAGCTTACTAAGTCATCCTGCCAACGTAAACTTTGGAAATCAACAGCGTGTAACTCACTTCCGCGACACGCTGTAGCCAAAGCCGTGAGTAAGGCTGTTTTGTAAGAAACAAGCCGTAACTCTGCCGTCTCCATTGGCTCGAACGGGGCTTTCATCAAAGCTTCAAGGACTAAGAATACATCCCATTCGAGAGTCAACTGTCTTGACACCGCGGACGCAGACATTGACGTCATTAGATCTCTCAGGACTGGATCCCCCGAGAAGTCGGGACCCCCGCTTTGACGTATTGTGGTACAAATCGCAGAGCGGTAAGACTTAATAGTGCGAGCTTTAAGGTGTGAATTCACCTGTAGGTGATTTAGAAACTCGGCTAAGTCTTTCTTCATTGGACGTAAGGAACCCCCCTGTTGTGACTTCGTCCAATCCACCCAGCACTGCCAGTGTGATTGATATAGTCTCTCAGTTGACAAGCGCCTGGACGGAGCGACGCGTTCGGCAACTGCTTTAGAAAAACCTCGCGTCTGGAGGGAGTCTTTGACAGTTTCCAGGCGTGTAGGTCTAACACTGCCGGGTTCTCGTGGCATATCCTCAACTGAGGTTGCACTAACAGATCGAACCGGCGTGGAAGCGCTATCGGTGGGGCCACTAGGAGCTCGAGCAGCGTAGGAAACCACGGTTGAGCCGGCCATCTCGGAGCTATGAGAGTGAGATCTGAACTTTCCTTTTGCGCTTTCCATATCACCCGATCCAGTATCGGGGGTGGAGGAAAGGCATAGGCGACCAGACCCGTCCAATCTAACGCGAGAGCATCGTGTGCCCACGCTAGGGGGCCCGGAACCGGGGACACAAACAAGGGGAGTCTGTGATGCGTATGGCAACCGTGAGCCCCCCAGCCCCCAGATGAGCCCCCTCTGTGAACAGCGACTGCGACGGTGTCGCTGTCGGTGGGTGTAACGGCATGGTCTGAGACAGGAAGTCTCGCGATAACCATTGACTTATGGATGAGTTGAACCACGTCCCGAGGGGAACAGGTGTGTCCGAGCTCAGATGGTCCCACTTGGAGGCTAGCATCAGCTGTAGCTCTCTTTTTGCCAGTTTCGCCCAGGGTAGAATTTTTGAAAATGATTCCATCTGACCTAGGAGAGAGTGAATCTCTCTCGGCGTGGCGAAAGTTTTCTTGCACAACTTGTGTGCTAGCGTGACAAAGGCGTTCAGACGGTGATCGGCGGGAGACACAGTGGCTTCCGCTAGGTCGAATTTCACCCCAAGAAAAGTAAATCTCTGAGAAGGGACTAGTTCCGATTTCTCGAGATTTATTACAAACCCTAGTTTCACAAATAGTTCCTAAATCTGCTGACTCTGTGAAGCACAGAGGAGATTCGACCTGGCAGGACTCAGGGAATGGTCCAGGTAAGCATTAAACCGGAGACCCAGGCATTGGAGCCTTGCCACCACTGCTTTCATGACTCGGGTGAATACGTAGGGGACTGAGGCTAGACCGAACGGAAGAGCATGGAACTCGTACACGCAATCCTCGAACACAAACCGGAGGTATTTTTTCGACGTTTTGTGAATAGGAATGTGAAGATAGGCGTCTTTTAAGTCTATTGAAATAGGCCTCCAGTCTCCGTTTCTTTTGGGGACTAGGAACAGTCGGGAGTAAGATCCCAGCCTGGGATTCGGGGAGGGGAACGATCGCCCCTTTTCCGAGAAACTCCCTTATCATTTGACGCAACGACAACAATTGATTTTTGTCCCGGGGGAGGGCAGACAGAGGAGGGTGGCATGTTAGCAGCGGGTACGGTACGCCGTGAAACTGAATGCAGTATCCGACCCTTAGTACGGAATGTACCCAAGGGTCGAGCGTCTCCTCTTCCCATGCTGGTAGGAAGTGTGACAACCTGCCAGCTATAGGGAATTCTGCCCCTGATACGGAGGCCTGACTGGGTACTGGGTCCCGAGTGAACACTGGTATCTGAGGCTCCCTGTGGAGCTCCGACGACCTGTCTCTTTGGGGGAAGGAGTCAGGAACGACCTGTGGCCTTCCCTGCCGGCCCCGGACCCTTAGGTCCGCCGAACTTGACTCGCCGCCCTTGGGTGGCTCTGTTGGAGGACTGCTTTGTCCCCCTTTTCCGATTCGGTCGGTGTCGTTTGGCACCAGTCGGACCGGAGGCGGCGGCAGTTTGGGGAGGAGGTACAGTCAACTTCCCCACGGAAAGAGACGGAGGCTGACAGGTGTACAGCGCATCGTCTTTCCGCCTGTCCGCCAGCTGCTGCATTCGGTCAGGGAGACCCATGCCGAAGAGTTGCCAGCTCTCAATGGGGGCACACCTAAACTGCGCCCTTGTCTGCTGCGTCGTAAGAGCAAGCAGCCAAGGACGAGTCTCGCCTCGTTAGCAGGAGACCTGCCATGAGGCGCCCTTGCAAGCGTGACAGATGTGACAACGCAGTCAGAGCCGATGTCATCCACGCTTGCAAGGAAGGTGTGTCGGCCCCCGAGTTCTTAGGCAGGGCCAGGAAGGTCCCACCGAGAAGCCAGAAGAGATGTGAAATCACCCCAAAAGAGTGGCGGCACATCTCCTCCCAGCTCCTCAGGTTTTCCGAAGCTATCAGCAATTTTGCTGGGTTCGCCGTGGGAAAACGTGAGAGGAGCTCAGGGGGCACGGGGGGAGCTGCCAGGGAGAACGGCTCCGACCCGTCCGGCGCAAAGCAAGAGTATGTGCGCGGGCACTTTACCCATCTTCATGGATCTACCGTCCTCTGGCAGGTCTGAATTTCCCGATCCTCGGATCAGGTCATTCAGCTCCGTCCATATCTCATCCAAGTCCCTAGAGAAGGGTAGGGTGAGGGAGGACGTAGGCGCACGCGTTCCCTTACTCACCTGAGCGGGAGTCAGGAAAGGCGTGGCCTCCTGCCGTGGGGGGTCCCAGTTCCCGAAGGATTTGCCGTCCGATCGCACTGACCGGAGGAAATCCTTCAGAGAGAGGATGGATTCGGTGAAGGAATAATCCCCAGCTGCGCTTCCCTCCCCCACCTCCGAGGGGGTGGATGGACCCCTAGGGACAGTCAGGTTAGGCCCAGTGGGTCCTTCCCGACTGCCCTGGACGGTAGAGGAGGGTCCTGTCCTAGGGTGAGACTCCTCCTCGTACAGGATGCTCGAGTCCACGGACGAGG